CTGAGTAACTGATCCTGGTTTCAGGAAACGTGCTGCGTTCCTGGGAGGGTGGAGCGAGCGCAAGGCCTCCAGCTGGAACCCTTAAGGCTGGACCTGCAGGCCAACGTGAAGGCTGCCCTGTGAGTGACTGCCCACCCGAGTGTGTCACATGAGCCCACAGCACCAATGAGGCTTCGCTGTCAGGTCACTAACTCAACGCAGGCTTTCTGATCAGCCCTGCTTCCTCTTCCCCCTGGCAGCCTTTGTGTCGAAACAGAGGAGGACAAGATGCTCGAATTCTACGCCATTGCCAGCGATTTGCTGTTGATGGGAACAGAGCAAGGGGTGAGCACACATGTCCCAAGGCAAACCACCAGGGGGTGCCAGTTTGGAAATAAATCTCACTCATTCTTCCAAGTTGCACGTCCAGGGATTCACTGCTTCCCTGTCCCATTTAAAACCTCCCACACCAATTACTCTCATGAGCATTAGGTCATACTACGCCCATGAAACTTATATTTAATTTCTCTGCATGCCTGAGATTTATATGTGTGTCATGTGGGTGCAGTTTCATTACTCATCTTCTTGATTACTTCGCAGCTCACGTACAGCTGTGTTCTTTAATGTATGGCTTTCTGTTTTAGTGATGTTCCCGTTCTTGCTGACCCACACGGCTGACCTTAGGGGTGCCTAATCGCCATCGTACGCAAGGCCATTTTTCTCAGTTCCAAGGACACCTTGGGGAAGAAGGGGGGGGGGGGGGGGGGGAGGGGGGGTTGGGCCGCTGGGCGATTTGTGGAAAGGACCTTGAGATGGGTTTTGTGGCAAACCTCATATAAGTAATTCCATTTTAACTCAAGAAATGGCCTTTGCATCACCATATTTGATTTTGAGGAAATGTGAATTGCACCTTCCGGACTCTTTCTCAAATGAAAGGGATTCTGATGTTTTAGCCTAATTGTCAAGAGATGATAGAGCAATGAAAAACATATCATGTATCAAAGGATGACAGAGCAATGAAAATTCATCCAACAATGGATGAAGGAACTATGAAAAACTATACTGTTACAGATTTGTTTTCTCTTGTTACTATTACAGGTTTAACTTTTTTCTGTACCAAGGTTAATTGCAGATAACTAGAACCATGGACACAGGGGGACTACTGTAATTCATTCCCACGATTTATTAAAACATGATCTATATTGATGCATATGATATTTTTCGTTATACCATAAGCAGAGCCCCATGCATTTTGTTGGTTATGTAAATGCTGTGAAAGAGCAGCCATACAGATTCAGTACGTTTAGCTATAGCCAGCACTGTGTAGTGGCCCAGCTTCAGTGTTATTCTAAAGACAGGAGAGCTTATTTAAGATTTTGGGAAGTTAGCATGCAGTACAGTGCCAGGATGGAACAGACAATTATGGTTATAAATGGTTATTGTCACAAAACACCCTCCATACGTTGAAAATGTTCTTTTGTTGAAAAAACCCTTTAGGATATAGTGCCCTGTCTTTATCTCTGGTAGGAAAAAAAGAGAATTCAGAGTGTTTCATTATAAGCTGTAACTTATTTACTATTACTTTTTTCTTTTTACTATTATCGTAGCTCGACAAGTGAAGCATTACGCTAATGACACATAGGTGATGGGTTCAAAGCCCAGGGAGCACACATAAATTGTTTTTTTTTTTTTTTGTAACCATTCTTCCTACTGTAAGTCACTTTGGATAAAAGTATCAGACAAATGAATAAAAATATTACAGCTACATGGCTGTGATGGAGCCCATGTTGTAAAATGCAAGTAGCTTTAGCGCTTGTTTACGATTCCGGAAGCATTCGGGGGCAGACAGAGGTCTTGTGGGATGCCTCACGGAGCTCTGGCCGAGATGCTTAGCTCCACCTGCTGAGCTGCTGTGCTTGCAGGTGGAGGAACCGCCGGCAGTGACCACCCGGAGCTTTCGCCTCAGGAACCCTCTAGAGATGCCTGTCTACTTCAGACTCAGCGTCCAGCCTCCCTTCTGTGTCCTTCCGCCTTGGCCGAGGAGCAGCACCCAAAGCCCCTGCGACCACGCCAGGGAGCCCCCGTACCTGGTCCTCCAGCCCCGGCACAACCTGCAGGTCGGATTCTGCCGCTTTATCCACAAAGTCCCCTGGAACTTCCATCCTTCTCTATGTCACTTCCTGATTTCTTGTTTGACCTGCAGGTCAAAGTGGCCTTTCACTGTTCGTTGTCCCTGCTGGCCACTCCGGGTTCACCCTCAGAAGAAACCCCGCCCACTCCACAGCTGATAAGCAGCGTGACAGGGGGGCGCAGCCTCCGGTTCCATCAGAGCCTGCTAGTGGAGTACAGCAATGGAAGTATACAGGTGGGTGGTGCCAAGTCAGCAGATTGGCATCTATCATGATGAGCCCTGATGTTTTCCATGCAGCAAATGGGCAATACCGTCCCCTGCTGAACAAAACAGGCTTTTAATAAATGCAATTCTTAAAGCATTATACTCTGGTATTCATATATTCCCAGTACATCGATTCAGTGATTTGATATAGTGCCTCACACCTCTGTGTCTGCCATCAGGAGGTGCCTCTTTGCGGCTTCCTCTCCTTGCCCACCCTCCATCTGATACCCGACAGCCTGGACTTTGGCACATGTTACGTGGGACAGACCAGTGTCAAAGAAGTCATCCTCTCCAACCGCGGAAGGTCCAGCAGTCACTGGGCAGCCACTATAGGTAACGGCCGCCAACGGGGTCCTGAGGCTCAGAGCTTTGTGCAGCTCAGCATTGGGTCCCACGCACTCGCAACTGACTAAATGAGCTCTGTTATACTGTTGATATGACCACTTCCAGTATTTTTGCTGCTTTTAAAAAAAATAAATGTATATTGATTTTGCATGTAACTTCATAACTGTATAATGGTTATCAAAAACCCAGAATGTGTCAAGTGTGCTGTACGTAGAGAGATGAAGTGTGGTTTGGCAGGTTAGGATGCTGAGCCTGTGATTGGAAGGTTACTCGTTCAAATCCCAGGATCAGCAGAGTGATGTCACCATTAGGCTCCTGAGCAAGGTCCTTAACCCCCAGTTATACTCTAGGGACTGGCTGACCCTGTTTGTTGCTTCAGATAAAAGCATCTACAAAATAGACACTTATGGACTGTGATATGACTGTCTGGGTTCTAGGTCAGTGTTTCCCGACCTGGTCCTTGCGGAACCCCATGCAGTCCGTGTTTTTGCTCCATTCCAGCTCCCTACTGGATGCCGTGTTATGTTTTTGAAACTAAATGTAGACATTTTGCATATTTTGCATATTCATCTTTAATATAGGATACAAAATGTCTTTTCCCTTCCATTTTCCCTGTTTCTGTTCTGTATAAATGATGTAATCTTGGAATGCCACACACTCTTGTCAAATGCCTTGGGATGACTCTGTTGTGAAAGGCGCTATATAAAAATAAATTTAACTGAAAAATGATTGTGTGCCAGTGACCTCAGTAAATTGGAGCCTTGTTTAGCAGGTTAGCAGTAATAGCTATTATAAGATCATTCATTCGTACTTCGAAGATGCTTTGAAGAAATGATCCCCCAGACTGGTTATCCATCATTTCTGCCCCGCATCCGTCTGGATTTAAACACGCTGCCGTATCAGCAGGCTTTAGCCACTTGTCCTCCATCTCTGTCCTCTCACAGAATCGGTGGGGGGAGGTGGCTCCTTTGAGGTGACCCCCAGCCGTGGTGTCCTGCGGCCGAAGCTGCCGCTATGCTCCTGTAGACACCCTCTCCAGATAAGCTTCACTCCCAGGTTCGGCCTCCTCCGCTCTTTGCTAACTGTAAGACTTTTACAGACCTCATCAGTTAGCTGCCAGTTAGTGGTGCACCATAAAGGTACAATTAAATAACTCAAACTACATTAAAACAGAACAGTTGAGGTGTGTATAAGGAAGTCATTACTGAGTGTCCTTGGTCCAGTTCTCCCCGAGCCCTTCAGACTCCTATTATTGGTGTGAAATCACTGGCCCAATTCGCACTAAGCCCGCCCCCAGACTGATGTTCTATAGGCTGTGTGAAACAAAGGCCACATTTGCTGGGGCATCAGTGGAAGGAGCTTGGTGTTGTAGGTTCTGTCAGACACGGATGTGATAAGTAGCAGAGAGTGGGCGAAACACTAGTGGGAGTTTTACTTACACACAAATGTTCTGAGGGCAGAGAGGAAAATGACTGGTTCAGAGAGATAGCCAATCAGATTGTAGAGGAGCTGGGTCAGAGCAGCTAGAGGAGACAGGACCAAGACATCTGATTGGTTGGACCCACCTCCTCTACAATCTGATTGGTTGTCTCTCTCAACCAATCATTTTTCATTCTGCCACTTTTTTCTAATTTTTCATTAGTGCTTATACAATTTGCAAGTCAAATATGTAGCTTCCGATTGTGTACCATGTGTTTCCCAACCACAGGGACACCAGTGAGGCCAGAGCCACTGTTACAGTGCAAGGGATTCTGGGAGAGCTGCCCGTTTCCCTTCAAGTTTGGGGAAGAGGCTCCTTTGATGAGGCTTATGTCACTGCAGACTAAAGGCTAGTGCTGCATCTGGACAGAATTATCCACATCTGAGTCATCTTGTGTTCACTCCACCCCAGCTGGGAACTGGTAAATACAAAGAATTATTCTAGTAATAACTACAACATTTCTTATTAAAATGACCCTTTGCAGGTATAGTAAATTCAGAAATTAGCATGTGCTTTGTTTTTCTACCTGTGAATGTATGCTGCATTGTTTAGTGCACGAATCAGGAAACTCATAGCAAAGTTTTATTAGCATCAGAGTACAGTGGAGACCATACAACTGCACAGGAATAAAGAGCCTGGATTATTGTACCTGCAGAAAGCAGCAGCTGGTCTTCATTCCCAAATCACTTCCCGTGATAATGGAACATGACACAGGATTCACATGTCGTCACATGTTCTGGTCCCGTCCACGGACAAACTTACCATCCTATTAGTGCATTTTTTTTTTCAAGTTTTCACAAAAAGTTCTGTTTTTTTTTTTTTTTTTTTTTTTTAATCACATTTTTGCGCAGAGGTAATGTACCAAGCAGGATTTTCTGTGAGATTAAGGCCCCCGGTGTGAGACTACAGCCTACTACTACAGTAATAAACATTCAGTGCCCATTTTCTTTGCACCATGGTCCATCAGTTTACACATTCAGGCTGCTGTGTGCGTCTGCTTGGATAATCGCCCCCCCTTAGCGTCAGTTCCCTGGGTATTCAAACACAGCGGCTGCCCCCATCCCTGTTCCGATGCACATTGACACCACACCATATGCTCTGAAAGTTTAGAAAGATTAAAAAAAGAGGCTTATATTTCAATATCATAAAGAAACTCAGAGGGCTGTAAGTTACTACTTCAATCCTGCTTCCTTTAAAATTAACATCTCATTTAATTAAAGTAAATAAAATATAAACATTTTCTGTTGATGGTTTCTGAACCAGTTAAAGAGTGATAAGCTCCTGAATCTCCAGCAGTACTGGGCATAGCAAGGCGCTGTAGAATTCTTGATTCTGACTGGTGAAGATGGATGTGTAACTTATAACTGCACATGTAGTGCCAGCCAGGTGAATCACAATAATCGATACGCTGTTATAATCTTAAATTCACAATCTAAACACAACTTAAAAATAATGGGAACTAAACATAAATGTTTGGTCATTGGCGGAAGAAAGTACTAATAAATGCGCTTTCATCTAGCAAACAAAGTATGTTGCCTCTGCAATCACGCATTTAAAAATGTATAATGCAGGGCTTGTCATGCATTAACCCTTACACAGCAATCACTGGCACAACTGGGCTCACCTCTTGCCCCTCCGCTTGAGCTCATTGAGCAGGGTGACCACCTGCCGGGCCCCGGTGCAGCCCAGGGGGTGTCCCAGGGCAATGGCACCCCCATTGGGGTTCACCTTCTCCATAGGAATGCCCAGCTTCTCCACGCAGTACGCAGCCTGGAGGATCAGCCCACGTTCAGCAATGTGAAGCCAGCAAGCCCCCCCCCCAAGGCTAAAAGTGAAATCTACCCATGATCTAAGACTCGAGGTGAACTTACCTGACTGGCAAAAGCCTCATTGATCTCAAAGACGTCGACGTCAGCCACGGACAGCCCTGAGGGATAAAACAGCTTAGGTCAGAAGACACAGTGATTCTGCATGTGGAAGTGTAACCGGAAAGACACAGGTTCAAGTCCTAGAGACAAGTTCTGTTCCAGTATACATTACATGCTGAATAAATGAACAAGATGTAAGACTGTAAGCAGCCTTAGATAAAACCACCAAAAGGTTGTCCTTTTGCACGATGTCACCTTCTGGCTGTTTCTGGAAGCCAAGGCAGCAAACTCACCAGACTTCCTCAGGGCTGCAGGGATGGCGTAGGCGGGCCCGATGCCCATGAGGTCCGGGGGGACCCCCACCACGGCGCAGGCCCTCAGCACCCCCATCACGGGCAGATTCAGTGCCTCCACCATGGACCGGCGTCCTAGTAGCACTGCTGCTGCCCCGTCGCTTACCTGGCTTGAGTTTCCTGCGGGTCGACACACCACTATGAGCCACCTCCTGTGGAACGTACCAGATCTTCGAGCGTACGGAGAGAGTGACATGAGATCCACATGCAAAAACATGGCTGATTTATACAACTACCTACTGCTGATACAAGGGCGTGTACCATGGTGGGGCTACAGATGCACTGACCCCAGCTAAGAGCTGATTGGTCCCCAGAGTGCCCCTCTCTGTCACTCAACAATTCAAAACATATCATTGGCTAATGATAGGGTTGACCCATGCTTTGCCTCCCACCTTTAAAAATTCTAGAATCACCTCTGAGCGGATACCTTTGACATCTACACAGTCCCGTAGATTTCCTCTCTTTTTAAGACACCTTTATGATTACTTAATGTTATTATATACTAAATTATTATACACTGGAGAGAACTATGTGCATCTTTTTGTATGTGTCCATCATCACATTTATACAGTTGTGCAGAGATAATTTTTTTTTTTAACTCTTAGTGGAGACTTTCTCAGACATGGTCTCCAAAATCAAAGCTTGTACACAGACTCTTTACTAGCCTGCGGTGGTGCTGCCGTCTGGTTTGAATGCCGGCTTGAGTTTGGCCAGCCCCTCCACGGTAGTTCCTGGCCGGATCCCGTCGTCCTTGGAGACCACTATGGTCCGCTCCTTGCCGTCCTCATCCACAAATCTTGTGGTGAGCGGCGTAATCTCTTGCTGGAACACGCCTCGCTCCTGCGCCTTGCTGGCTCTTTAACACAGTGACAGTCCTTTTACAGGTCAAAGAAATGCCCGACAGAAGCTTAAATAACGATTAATGGTCAATGACGTCCACCCAATGCATCAAATGATAACTACAATGGCGGTTAAGCCGCCGTTCTGTAGGGCGCTAATCGTACTTTTGTTGGGAGCTCAGCGCGAAGGCGTCCTGCTTCTCCCTGGAGATCCCGAATCTCTCCGCCACATTCTCCGAGGTGATTCTGCGTGACGGACATGGACGGTCATTGAGAGACAGCGGATGCTACAGATTCTCCCACGGGGATCACAAGACGAGAGCTGGAGAGTGAATCTCTGAGCACGGAGGCTTTTTAAACCTGTACAGTTCTCCTGGCAGGGGGGCTGCTCTTGGTACGTGTGACTGAGGAAGAGAGGTTTCAAAAAAGTAAAGTAGAGCCTCTCAATTGCTGAAGGTCAAATAGGTTATTTTGTAGAAAGGACTCAGTGGGTGTGGTTTCAGAAAAGAATGCACTATCCACTAAAAAATAATTTATCTAGCTTTCCAAAAGTGATACCAGAGAATGAAAGACTTTTCCCCAAAGAATTTCAGGCTGCACTAAAATCTGATGCTTTCAGCCTGATTTATGGAAGTTAATATCTACAGGATTTCTACTTGTAAATATTGATTTGTGGTGGGGGAGGGGCGGTCAAGGCAGTTTTGGGAGTCACATAACCAGGTTTGGAGCACTAATATATTCCACCTCTCACTCCTTCCCATAATGGGTATAGATTGGGTTTTAGAGATTATGCAGCCTTAGTACCGACAAATTAATGACTTAACATTCTAAAATAAAATACAGTAAACAGTATAGACTTAACATCTTTAATAATATGTATGTATGTATGTATGTGTGGCCAGGTGTCCCAATACATTTGTCCATATATATATATATATAGACACCATTACACGTACAGGAACTTTTGTAACACCACATTCTAAATCTATAGACATCAATATGGAGTTGGTCCCCAATCCCCCCCCCCATTGCAGCTACCACTCTGAGAAGGCTTTCCACAAGATTTTGGAGTGTATCTGTGAGCATTTGTAGTCTGTAATCGGGATTCAGGCAGAGCACAGGGGGTCACTCGGGGTCATCCTTACCCCATGGGGATGAGGCAGTCCCGGGCCTTGGCGTTGTCCATTAACCTGGAGCTGACATCACCTGGGTTTCCCACAGAGCGCAGGCTCATGCTCTCCACTCTGAAGGGCACACAGAGACACAGCATCAGCTCAAAGGGCACGGAGTGTCAAGCGTGTCCCTCATCACCTGCTCTGCCCCCTACTGGTACTGTGACTGCAATTACAGGCCTGCTGCCAAATTACCAACTCACGGCACTTATTAATTGCCAATTATGTTGCCATGGAAGACGCAGGAGAGGTGCCCATGTTCACTCGAGAAGCTCACCCACATGCCAGTCCAAGGTCATATGATCCATTCCTGATGCCACCTGGACAGGAAGATAATCATCTGCAGTTTACATGAAGAAGCTATTATTGTAATTGAGCAGCAGCATTAGGCAAACACATCCATAGCATAAATCCATCCTTCTGTCCATTTTTAACAACTACTTATGCAGTTAGCTGGAGCCAAGAGACAAAGGAAAGGAAGGTGGTCCAACCAAAAGGAAGGTGGTCCAACCAATATATTTGATTTGCAACATATCAAGCATCCATCCATCACCGTAACCGCTTAATCCCAACCAGGGTCTCGAAAACAAGAGGCACGGGCGGAACCAACCCTGGGCAGTCGCCAACACACCGCAGGGCACACACACACAATCACAGGGCCAATTCAGACTCGCCAATCAACGTACCCTGCATGCTTGGACCCGGCAGAAACCCCTATGCGAGCTCCACACAGAAAGGACGCGGGACCAGGACTGAACCAGGACCTTCTTGCTGTGAAGCAGCAGCGCTAACCACTGTGCCGCTCCATATCAAGCATATTAGTATGTTATGAGTAAATTGTGCTATGAATCAAAGTTCAAAACCTTTTAAAAATGGAGGGTGGTGTGTAGCTCTGGGGGTTAGGGTGCTGTGCCTGTGATCGGTAGGTTGATGGTTCGAGTCCTGAGGTTGGCAGAGTGGTTTCACCTTTGGGCCTTTACTAAATAGGTTTGCTAAGACAATAGCAATATACTGTAGGAGAAGCAAAATGTTTCATACTTTAATTACAAAAGGACTTTACCTGCTACATTGAAGAGGGCTTGTAGGCCAGAAGAACACATTCTATTAACGGTGTAGATGGGCACAGAGTCTGGGAACCCACTGTTAAGGGTGAAAAAAAACCCTACGTAAATATCCAGGGGATACTGGGTGTAATCCTCCAGCATAACTGGAGAGGAGATGGTTTACCTGAGAAACTGAGCTACTCTGACCATGAGGGCACCTGCACCAGGCTGCAGAACATTACCTACAGAAGAAGAGGGGAACGATGTATAACCATAGGACACCTTTACACCACCTATGGATCCCTGGCAGGCTACATTTCTAACAAGATCTCTATCTACCCACAAAGGTTTGTATAAAAGTGTGAAAACTATGACTGCCCATCACAGAAAGCTGGGCTTTCAGTGAGAGCCATTTGCAACTAGACACCCTAAACCGCAAGTCAGACAACGGAGGCAGACAGCGTGACTTCCTCACCCACGCAGACGTCCCCCAGCTTGTCCGGCGAAAGGCCCACATCCCGCAGGACGGCGCTCATCACCGCAGACAGCAGCTCGTCGGGGGTGGTGTCCTGCCGGGGAATCACACGCGTTCAGTTGAGCAACCAAACTAGGAGGCAGGAAGCGTTTATGAGTTCCGTAATCCGCGTCAATCCAGGTCTTAAAAACCTTTTCTTTAGTCTTTTGGAACCGAGCAGCAATTAGTCACGACATGCATAACCACGCTTGGGTGCAGCTTCATGGAGCTGGGTTTGGAGAAAGGTTTTCTCCGGTACAATGAACAAGATGTAACTTTTAATTTACATTAACGTGAGCCATTACCTTGAAGGATCCTCTCTTAGCTTTTCCGATGGCTGTCCTCAGTCCGTGGACCACAACGATATCATCCGCAGCAACTGGGAGCGATGCGCTGCACTCCGATCGGGCTATTTGGGCATGACTGTACGGTCCAAGCCGGTTTTGCGGTGACAGGTGTCCAGAAACAACCCTTAGCCTATGCATTTTAAGGACCTGCACCAGTAAACAGCGGCCAAATTACTGTTACTCGAATCGACAGCGGTCACCCACCGCGTATACAGAATCGCTGACTTTTTGTTAAAATAACTTAATTTGCAGGGTCGTAAACAATAAATGTTGTTACGTTTGCTTGTGACGGATCAAGCTGGACTTTGACGGCTTGTACAGCTCCTGGCACGCAACCCTGAATACGGAAAGTAAAGAGGGTCATTAAAGTTGGGTTGAACCGCGTTGTCCTAAAACACTGTGCTGTGGTAATCTAAGTTGGGTTCAGACCTGCACCAACCAAGCAGAACAAAATCATTTATATAATAACTTTTATATGAAGGAAAGGAGGAAATATATATGTGTGTGTGTGTGTGTGTGTGTGTGTGTGTGTGTGTGTACTTAACAACGAATAGCAAGGAAGGATAAGATATTTTGTTGTAGTTAACAGTTGCCTGATTTCCCAGTTTTAACTGCAACCCGCTTCGCTATTTTAGGAGCTGTGGTTAATTCTGTTCTGTGACAGCGATCGACATGTTTAAACGTGTGTGAAAGTGGCTCCTCTGCAGGAACTTGAGGGAAATCTATCAAAGAAAAGAGTGATTGCACAAGTCCTTCGTGAAATGCACAGTGGTCACAGTGATTCCCCGTCTTTAAAATTGGAAATGAACGGAAAATACAGGAAATGTGGCAGCGCGAGGCAATGTCTCATCTTTCTGCCGGGAAGACGGGAAACTGTATTCGCTATACCGGTTTTCTTTTTCTTCTCTATTGTTTAGAAAATACGGTTCATTGGGCTGTTTTACAGGCCTCATAGATCAGTGAACCATCGCGGTTTCCAGGCACCTTTTAAGTAGGTTAGTACTACGGCTTATCAATAATATATGAGCAGAACAACTACTATACTGATCTGTGAACAGACAAAACCATCATGTCAGCATTTTAAATAGGAACATTAAATCCAGAAAGTCACTCTTTCGTGAAATGTACCTCTTTTCAAATACATTTAACGTGTCATACATTCATATTTATCTATAATATATTGCATAATAGTGTGTTTTAAATGTCGGCCTATCTTGATTTAGTTGAAAGATTGCGCATACTTAGGTGGTGGAGAGGTGGAACTTGTTAGTTACTAATGTTGCCTTTCACCGCTATGGTAGGGGTTTGAGTCCCACTCCATGTGAACAGAGATTGCATGGTCTCCCTGTGTTGTGTAGGAGCCTTCTGGCCCTACAGAATGACCTCCAGCAGGTCATTGGTGTGCATGTCTCTGAGCAAACAATCAGAAACAGACTTCATGAGGGTGGCCTGAGGGCCCGACGTCCTCTAGTGGGCCCTGTGTTCACTGCCCAGGACCATGGAGCTCGATTGGCATTTGCCATAGAATACCAGAATTGGCAGGTCCACCACTGGCGCCCTGTGCTTTTCACAGATGAGAGCAGGTTCACCCTGAGCACATGTGACAGAAGTGAAAGGGTCTGGAGAAGCTGCGGAGAACATTATGCTGCCTGTGACACTGTTCAGCAAGACCGTTTTGGTGGTGGGTCAGTGATGGTCTGGGGAGGCATATCCATGGAGGGACACACAGACCTCTACAGGCTAGACAATGACACCTTGACTGCCATTAGGTATCAGGATGAAATCCTTGGACCCATTGTCAGACCCTACTCTGGTGCAGTGGGTCCTGGGTTCCTCCTGGTGCCTGACAATGCCCGGCCTCATGTGGCGAGAGTATGCAGGCAGTTCCTGGAGGATGAAGGAACTAATAGCATTGCCTGGCCCCCACGCTCGCCTGACCTAAATCCAATGGAACACCTCTGGGACATTATGTTTCAGTCCATCCGACGCCACCAGGTTGCACCTCAGACTGTCCAGGAGTTCAGTGATGCCCTGGTTCAGATCTGGGAGGAGATCCCCCAGGACACCATCCGTCGTCTCATTAGGAGCATACCCCGACATTATCAGGCGTGCCTACAAGCATGTGGGGGCCATACAAACTACTGAGTACGATTTTGAGTTGCTGCAATGAAATTTCGGCAAAATGGACCAGCCTACCGGATCATTTTTTCACTTTGATTTTTGGGGTGTCTTTGAATTCAGCCCTCTGTAGGTTTATCATTTTCATTTCCATCAAACAATGTGGCATCCTTTCGTTCCTAACACATTACCCAGTCCATATCAGTATAGATATACAGCATGGTTTTTCCCCCATTGAGATCTGATGTGTTTTCAAAGCGTTCCTTTAATTTTTTTGAGCAGTGTTTAAATATCCCTTCTCAGTAGTATTGTACCTGAATGTGGTTTATGGAATTTCTACGCTGTGAGTCTCATTTAAAGGTCCAGTGATGCCGATTGGTACAAAAATCTGTCGTATATAATCCCCAGAAGCATGATTTTATAAACCAATGTATACGAAGTACTGTATAGCCTACGTGCAGTGTTCGGGTCCGAGGTATGAAGAGCCGAAAGAGGGCAGCAGACGACGGGCTGGAAAGTAGAGCTCATAAAATGGCTCTGGGGCTCGTCACCGCTTCCCGGACCGCACGTCACGGGCGACATCATCGGGGGGGACTTGCCGAGTGTTTACCGGAGCCAGGCAACGACGGCCGGGGCTGGAAAAACTTTGCTCTCAGCCGGACTCGGCAGCGCACGTACGGCTTCCCCTTCTGCTACCAGCCGAAGCCCACGGAGTGCGTCGATCGCCGGGATTATAAGTGATCTTCGTGGAAGACATTACGTTATAATCTTTTGCGAAGCGTAATTTAATTATTCTGTTTTTCAATAATCAAAATACTCCTTATAATATTGCTTTTCTTTCGTATACACTTATCGCACTTTCCGGATATTAGTGCCGCTGGCAAAACTACGCAGGATCACATCAGTGGGATTTCAGATACATAATTTTTGCTGTTAATTGGTTGTTACCTTCCTTAAGTTTTATGGTCTGGCAATGCTTTTTCAAGTCATTTAGACCTCGTCGTGCCGATTTCTGGACAATGAAGTTGCAGAGGTAACCAGGTGAGTTTTGCACAATTGCACGTTATGAAATGAGTAGTAGCCTACTTCCCGAACCGGTAACACGCAAAAGTATGTGCGTAATATGAAATGAGTCATAGCATTAAAACACCATCTTCCCTTGATAAACAGAAATGACAAAACTATTCGTTTAGGTCCTATCCTGTAAAACATGGATTACAGTGAAATGGCGAAATACACGAACCAGTTATTGCGCTGTCCATTGTTACAATATCTGCCTTTACAATTTTTTTTTTTCTATTGCAATATTTTTAGCGTGTATGCCAAGCTTTGCGTCAGTTTGTTGGACCTTAACTAAATGTGACCGGTTTCTGCGATGTTACGCATATATACATTTACAGATGAATATGTGCTGTAGCTTTTATATGAATTAACTAATTTTGAGTTATTCATTTTGATTCATCTGCTGATAGCGCTGACTGCGCATCCTTCTGTATTCAGGTGTGCGCGTTGGCGTCTTTGATGCCAGTTTAATCGGCCGGTAAGACTTGGCCGTGTTAATGTGTTTCGTATGTGGTGGCTAAGAAAAGTCTTTCAATGACTAATGTTTTCCAAGCCGTAAGTGATAGACTTTGTCTTTACACTTGCTTTTCAGACAGGAAACAACCCTTCCGGAGTTTATCAGGCGCGCGGAAGGCTTATAAATAACACCGAATATGCAGAGTTCGATTTTAGTCTTCAGTTTAGTGTAGTAGTTTTATAACATAAATTTGACATGTTGGCAGTGTTTTGCATGAATTGCAGTTGCCTCATGCAGTCTAGAGTCATCCAGCTTTGCAAACTGGTGACTCTAAATTTGCGTGGGGGTGTGTGGCCTTTAGTGGGCTGCCATCCCATCCCGGGTATCCCTTTGCCTCAGGTCTTGTTCTTCATAAGACTGGCTCCAGGTTTACTGTGAACCTGTAGCGGGTAAGTGGTTATGGAAGGTGGGTGGATGTTTGGGGATTCTAATGCAGTTACTCAAGTTTCACACTGATGCTGTGGAATGTGTTGGGGGAGATTGTATTGTACTGTACCTTTCCCCTCCATGTTCAGACCAGCTCTAAGACGCTGTGCATGATCATTAGTGACTACAGGACATCTACATCAGCCAATGGGCACTGGATTACCATTTTCACTAGTGCCCGAGAATTCAGGTCGGATATATAGTATTGTTACCAAAATTACTGCCAGGACAGAGCTCCCACAGATAAGATCCATGAGGAGGGGAGTAAAGTTACAGGTTTGCTGCTTGGCAGCAGCGTCTGGTGATATCTTATGGAAAATATGTCTTTGTCACTCGTATGGTGAGAAGATCTCACCCATTCTATCTCGTGATCTGCAAGCCATGTGGTTAATGTTCTTGGTTTGTGTTCAAGGTGGGATGGTCGAATCTGTCGTAAGCGCTTACTGCTGAGAAACTTGTGCAAAATTGAATTAAGATTGTTTTGAATGCAGTGTCTGTTACCTAGGAAATTCTAATACAAGGTTTGTTTCTGATGAGACTAGTCATTCATTTTCCAAACGCACTTGTCCTATGCAGGAGCTATTAAACTATAGAGCTCAAATTTTACTATGCAATTAAAAAAAATGAAATTTAAGCTTCACACACTAAATTCCAAGCTACACTCGTTTTTCCCCATTGGGTAGAATACTGAAATATGTGATCAGATAATACCTTTTATATAACATATTTCGCAGTAGTTCAGTCACTAAGAAAATTATCACTCTTTTTTTCCTGTGGTGTGGATCTCTGCCAATAACTAATGGCATCTGTTCCCATTGACCAATCTCTCTCTGAGAAGTCTACTCCACATCTTACTGTTGCATGAAGGATTTACAGGGTTAGAAACCAGCTGGAGTTGTGGGCCTGATCTAACTATCTATCTAAATATGACAATGAAGCCATAAAGTTGAATTATTCCTGAAACCACAAAGATGCCAGAGAAAAAGTGATTTGTTTAGTAGATTTAAGTTTCAACTTGAGAACTGTCGTGAAGATGGACGTTATGAAATATTTGATCACATGTAATACTTTTTTGATTTAAATACAGTGGTCATTATTGAGTGATAAGCAAATTTGCCTTAATACCTTTAACATGGGTCACCTTCTATAACAAAGATAGACAGACTTGCAGTTTCAGAGTACATATGACTGGAGAGTGACAAGGCTGAGCGTTTGGGTGCTGGTCTCCATGGTGACCGTAACACTCCAGAACTGGTAGTGAGCATCTCTTCCACTGCCTGACTTGTTTAGTGCTACATATCCGATTCTGAGAAGTCACCATGGGAAATGAGGTGTCCACTCACTGGGCAAGATCAAGGCTTTATGAGACAGTGCCAAAATATAGCAGAAGCAGCTTTTGTTTAATCTTGATAGGCTAATAAGGTGTTCTACTGTGTATTAATTCATGCTATTTTCATTTCTGTACAGAACTGTGGAAATGCAATAAGTAGATGTAACCCCTTAGTGGTTTATCATGATAGATCATAGTACTCCTTATGAGAAGTTAATATGTACAAATATTTCCTTTCACATTTGAAGACCAAATGTCCAACCTCCACTCAGTCAATCTTTGTTGTTTTTGAGATGATTCTGCCAATAACCTAAAGGCTGCCTCGTCTTATGTTCCAGTAGCTCGTGGGAGTTTTACTTACACGAAAATGTTCTGAGGGTAGAAGGAAAATGATTGGTTCAGAGAGATAACCAATCAGATTGCAGAGGAGGTGAGTCCGAGCAACTAGAAGGCGGGACCAATCCCTCAGATGTCTAAGTCCTGCCTCTACTCTCTGAACTAATTATTTTTTCCTTCTGCTCTCAGAACAATTTTGTCTAAGTAAAACTCCCACGAGTGTCAAAAATTTCTTAGTCCACATGTAATCCAACAAAGAACTTTTGTTAAATTTCAAAAACTAAGTCCACAGAAATGGTTCTTTTGAACTTTTCCTGTCCATGTGTACCGTGGGCTGGGTGAGTTTTGGAAATTTGTTTTTTAATTGTACTGAGAAAAAGGATACATTTTGAAGAGAGTCTATAAAGTCAGTATTGTTTATTTGCACGACATTGATAAATTTGTCAGATCCATAGTGCTTCACGTTGGGAGCTAAAAGAGGGTTCATTCTTTTATGTGAAATGTTTCTCGCTCTAGTTTCAGTGATGATCATATTTATCTGAGTAATTCTGTTGTTGCCACTCCAGGCACTTTTTTTAGGCGAGGCAGGGGACCAAGAAATTAAAGTTTGTCACGTTAGTTGCACCATTTTCCCACTACTGATAGTAACTGAAATGTCTTGGGGGTTGTGTTTAAAGTTCTGGAAATGTTGTAGTTGGTTGTGTTTTTAATGTTTCATGCAGTTACCATTTAGCCTGCATGATGCCACTGGTTAGATACTTCAGTTCTTTATGAATCGAACAACTCTTGTACCCTTTGCTTGGATATCTCATCAGCCTTTGAAATGTTGAGTAAAAAATGTCAGGATTAAGACCAGTGAGTTCTGGGTTGAAGCTGGCTGGTTTTTGCGGTTTCCCTAAAGCCCGTCATCGCTCAAGTCCATGCCTGCCTTACCCTCTGGGATTTCATTAATAGGCCGATCTATCCTCATGCCTTCTGACCGCCACAGAGTCGTGATTCCAGCTGTCTGTGGTCTGGTCTACAGCCATATCGCTGTCTGCCATTTCTTCCTCTGGCCCTCAATACATAGCAGGGTTCTGTAGCATAGGATGATAAAAGCTGCTCTTAGGATGCCAATGATAGCCTAGGCCAAGGTCCTAGGGATTCATATGCCACAGTCTCAAAGTAAAGAAGACCCTCAAAAAGGAATTAAGGGGGGCTTAATTTATAGGATATAAAGACAGACAGGACTCCAGTGGGCCTGTGCTGATGAGAATTCAATATCTTCATGATTATAGGCAATGGGTGTCATGAACTGTCTAAAACGGTGCTTCTCGTTCCAGTCCAAGCACCTTTTAAGGTGCTCCCTCCCAGCCAATCAGGAACACCGAATACCTGGTGCAGGTTCTGGGAACTAGGAGGGAGCAAAAACATGGACTGTCTGGGGGTCCCAGAGGACTGAGTTGAGAAACGTTGGTCTGAATAAAGTCAAAACATTTGTGTTCTGTTATGTATTCATCTGGATATTCACTTGAAACGAACACACCAGAATAGCTCCGTATCGGTCTTTCAGTCCGGTTTACTTTAGCTGTAGGACACGCTCAGCTACACTCTCCTAAATCAACCCACATGCCAGGCATGCCTTTCTAATTGCACTTCCCGATTGGCATCACTGGAAGCTTCCATCCGGAAGCGTCGTCTTCACGCTGCCTCTGATCCAGGAGGCTGGACACGTGCTGGGTCCATTCCTCCTCCATCTCCGTTTCCCCCGTTCGGACTGCTACGATCCTTCAGGGGGCCACTGTGTGGTTCGGGATTTCCTGCCAATCTGCTGTGGCGCGTAGTGTCCCTCTGTTTTCCGGGTTTCTCCCGTTCTGGCTACAGGGGATATGCAGAGCCAAAAGAAAATTGGTTTCTGAAGAGGGAATCTCGCCATTAATTTACCTCTTTGAGCACTTGGCCAATCAGATCGGCAGTTTACTTTTGTTGTGAACTGTTAATATGACATACGAGCAAGAATATCTATGAAGGAGGAACAGCTTGACAGTTTCTGCCTGGGGAGGTTTTCGCCCTTCCGTACAAACGTGTGGCATGTGACTTGGTGGGTTGGGATGTAGTGCTTATGATCGGAAAGTCACTGGGTCAAATCCTAAGGCCTGCAAGATTTCCCCATTAGGCACTGGAATGAGGCAGTTAATTAACCCCCCCCCCCCCCATTGCAGTACAGTGTGTGGCTCAGCAGGTTAGGACGCTGCCCATGACTGGGAGTGCGGCAGTTCAAATCCCAGGGTCGCCAGAGTGATTTTACTTCTGAGCCTTTAAGTGTAAAATGGTGATACCTTAAATGGTGTTAAAGTGGTAAATCTTAAAATAGGACGTGGAACATAAAGT